TCTATATGACCAAGGTCCTCCACATGATCCTCATTATGTCCTTCCATTGATGAAATGGATTGACTAGAAATTTAGAGGGAAAAGTGTAGGTTTCAATGATCTACGACCACGCATGCACAACAAAACATAACAAGCAACAAATAATGAACAATCACTTCACCTTCGCAACAAATCAATAATCAACAAACTTCCTCTACATACAATGTTCCCATACTCCCATGCTATCAACAATATGCAAAGAAAAGTAAAATTGCCTCCACGTAGGCTCACAATTTATCTAAGAATTGAAATACAAGCCTCCACGCGAGCCGACGATTTAACTAGAGATTGAGTTAAGAAAGAGCTCACAAAGGGTCCTTTAGCACTTCAATTCAATTTTAGATTTCAGCCTTGCCAAAAAATTTTAAATTTTAGCTTTTTCCTTGCTTTTGCTTAGCTCCTTGCTTGAAATGCTCCTTTGCTCTTCTTCCAGCTCAATGCACCTAGTCAAACAAGAACCAACATAATAAGTAACCAAAATGAAAATGAAAATAAAGTAAAGATACGATCAAAAGAGTACTAATCCTAATTGATTCCACAAATATGACGTTGCCTTCAATCAATCCCCTGTAACGACGCCAAAAACTTGGTGGTTCCGTCGTCAACAACCCAAAGTTTGTGTAAAAGAGAGTGGTGTTGGACTATGGTGAGTGTGGCTAAGTTTGACATTTATAATATGCCACTACTACCTTTCATCTCAAGATTGCTTCAATTATGCTCTTATTTTGCTGAGTTAGCTTATTTTGGGGATAAGTACCTAAAAATAGAAATAATACAAAAGGTTCTAGAATACCTAAGCTTAAGGGGTTTAAATGCGCACTTTTCAGCGCTCATCAGTCGCATATTTGAATTTAAATTTACACACTGAAATGCACTGTTATCAATGTGGTTTTTGTGGTGGCTCTGGTGGGTGGTGATGGCAGTGGAGTAATGTCGTGAGGCAGGTTCACCATGGATTAGGGAAGGGATAGGTGAATCTTCATTTGCTTCAGTAGGGTCCTCCCACATTTGTGATGGCAACGGATGGTTTAAGGCGATGATTTGATCACTAAGGACATTTACCCTTGCGCGTAACATAGCTTGATTCTTCACTCTATCACCTATAATGCTCCTCAACCATTCAACCTCTTCAAGAAGATGCATATACCTGTAGTTGCTCTTGAACTAAATAAGCTCAACACGCAGCCTATAGATTTCATCAATCATTGATTGTCTATTGTGTGGGTCAATATTATCTATGATATGATTGTGGTCATCAATAAATTTTGGTTTGTGTCCTTATTTTGAAGGGGATGTAAAAGAGACTTTCTTTGTAGTTTGAGATGGCTGTTGATGATGTGAAATTTTGGGAGGAGGTTCAACATTGTGCTAAGTGGGCTTTTTAAGGATAGAGATAGGAGGAAGAGGTTGTGGGGGTGAAGGAATGGGTTGTTCTTGGTTAGGGTGGGAGTTCTGTTTGTGGTTTTTTGTTAACTGTTTGTTGTGGGTAGGTAATATAGGAATAGCTACTTTTGGGTTGCTATTTTTGCGGAGGGAGAGTGATGATGGTGGTTTGGGATGGTGGTGAGGAGCATGAGGAAGGATTTATGCAGGTAGAAAGGGCGGTTTAAGGTGGTTGGGGTGGGAGTGCCGGTGAGATATGGGAGCTCTCATCTCATAGTCCTAATTAATTTAAAATGTATTAGTGAACTTAAACCTAAGGACTTATGAAAGCCTAAGTTTAAAAAGGGATGAGCCTGGCCTTTTCTATTAGAAGAAAAGGTTTTATGAGATATAATAGTTTTATTTGAAAAGAGACCTATTAGAACAGTAATGTAACCAAAATGGACAGCTTTAGGGGGAAACTCAACTTTTAGTTAGTCTGTTGTAGGTGCAAAATTTCTCTCTATTAAAAGAAATAAAAAGAAAGAATACAACTCACTCAAAACAATAATAACAAGCAATAATAATACTCAGAGAAAAGCATATATTGCTCGATGGTTTTATTGGAGGTCTATGCCTCTATTTATATACAAAAAAGGTGGTGGAATTATAGTAGGACTCGCATTGCTTATCCTACAATACATTCCATATACAATCCTCCATCCTATAATGTTGTTTCCTTTTATACTTCATTCCATGCAAGACTTCCCTTTTCACAGAACTTCCTTGTATAGAATTTGCCTTTTATGATGAATCCTTCAATTTGCAAGACTCGTTTATTCACATATAGCTTGGGTTGTATGCATCTTGAACCAGCTGGGCTTGAATAATGGGCCGGGAAACCAGTGCCAGCGATCTTAATAGAAAGGAAGAATTAACTTAGGCTCATCCCGAATTGGGTTGTTGTAATTTGGGCTTGATACGGATTGGCCCTCGTAATATAAAGAATATATCTTTGTAGTGAGGTGATGTGGATGATCTTTATTGGAGGGGGATTTTTCCTTCCACACTTTGCCCCTAATTCCCTCTTTAATTGGACTACGGCTCCTAATTAAAAGGAAATTGAAGTTACACGGTTGTCACTTTTGCACGAGGCGGTTTAAGGAGTGTTTATTGTTATTCTGACTCAAGAGCTTCCTCAAGATCTATTTTTGTCTATACTGCGCTCATTTCATTCATTGCGTTCTTTACCTCGTCGTTTTGCCAGGTTAGTTCTTCATCTATTTTTTGATCTTGCATCATGAGCACTTCAACCACTCACGGCCACATAGAAATTATAGATTTTGAATCCACGCCTTCGTTTTCCCCTATTCTCATTAAGGTTCCTCCCCAAAGGGTTTCTAATCCTTTTAAACCTATAAATGACTCGACCAATCAGTTGGATGATTCCTTACTTTTGGCTGAGACATCCACCTATGGGTCAAATAACATCTTTACTAAGGAAGAGAAAGAGAAAATTTTATTTGTTTGACGTATCAAGTTCACCATTGATTCAGTAATGGAGGAATTTGAAATCCCTGAGGGGGTAGAAATTGTTGTATACCCATGGACGGCTGACTTCAGTTCAGGCGAGGGCATCAAAGAGAATGAGTTACTTCTCTCAGTTGGGCATCTTAACGCCCTTCGTTTTCCTCTACACCCCTTCTACCATTTGGTCTTTAATAAGTTAGGTCTGGCCCCCCTTTAAGTAAACCCTAACTTTTTCCGAATAGTCTCGGCACTCTTGGTTCACCGAGGCTTGAAATTCTTGATTTGACTCTCACTGACCTATTAATTACTTACACCATCTCCAGGCATGGGACCGAGCCTGGTCATTTTTATTTCACCTCTAACCTTCAGCAAAGGATATACACGGACCTCCCTTCCTCCAAGAAGAAATGAAAAGAGAAGATGATTGTAGTTAAAGGGAAATGGTTTGTGCCTCAATCGAACGCACTCCCAATCCCTCGCAAATTTGGGAAGTTAGGTATAGAATGCTTACCATCCTTTCATACCAAGTGCTCTGGTTACTTCCCATGTCAAGTCTTAATTTTTCGTCATACTTATGAGTTTCTTGGTGTTTTTTCAGTAACCTTCCCCTCTTCTGCAGCTAAGAATAGGCTCTCCTTTCTCGAAGGACAAGTTTGGAGCGAACCCCCATTTGTTGAGGAGTTGCTCACTTCGTCCAACCCCCAAGAAATTGCTTCTAGTGCTATAGCTACAGACCTTATGGATTTAGCCCTTCCATCCTTTGACAGCTTCCCATTGACTGAGGAAGAAAAATAGAGAGTTGAAGCTCTGAAGAAGAAAGCTGCTGAAGAGCAGCCTTTAGCTGTCATCAGATCTATTGAGCATAAAAAAGAGGTTGATGAGCCTCCTCTAAAGAAGACAAGGCCAAATCCACCTTCATCCAGCAAAGGCAAAAATATCCCCAAAGGCAGGGGAAAAAAGGCTGGAGAAACTGACCCTGAAGAGGAGGTTAGGGCTTATATCCAGGCCAAGGTTGGAGAACCTTGGAGACCTATCTTCTCAAAGGCTGACAAATTAGTTCTCCATTCTGGGGACTAGATAGTCACTAACCCTTCTGCTGCTTTGGCAGTGGCCCGAGGAATGTAGCTACCCAAGGATGAAAAAATCATTGGGAACATGGGGTTAAACCAGCTACTACTATCTACCCCAGTTCATGCTATGAAGGTTTGTCATTTTCCCTTCTTTATTAATTCTTCAAATTTCTTTCCACTCCATTTACAATGCCATTGTTATTGTTGACTATGTAGAACTTGTACCATACCATGGCGTTGTGTGCTACTGCTGAGGCTCAGTCTCTTTCCATCAAGAAATTGGAAAGAGACCTTGGCAATGCTGAAAAGAAGGCTTTGAGTTTTGCCCTGAATGCAAAGATTGCCTCTGAAGCAAGGGATGTTTACAAGAATTGCTTGGCAGCGTCTGAAGCAAAGGTGGAGACATTGGAGGCTGAGGTCCAGCACTTGAATGATGCAATTGGTACCTGCATCACTGTTGGGAAACAGATACAAGGATGTTGTTCCACCTTGGTATGCTTATCTAGCGCAAAAGCCTTCAAATTTGGCTTCAACCAGGGCTCAGGTGAAAAAACGAAGGACCAAAGGCATTTGATGTTGACATGAATGTGTCCTTCCCTTATGCTAAGGGTCCACAGGCCCAAAAAGCTAAGGTGCTATCTGCTGCTATGGTGAAATCTCATCAGGAAGACCATCCAGCTCCAGGCTCGTCTGCTCGCCCATCTTTTAACCTGTTAATTCCTCCAGCCTTAAGTCCGAATGTAGTGGATGCTTTTGATTCTGCTCATTTTGATCCCAAAAGGAAGTGATCTTGTATAATTCCTGCTCTGAGACAAACTGAAACAATATTTGTCTTGCTTTCGAACAGTAACTGCTATACTTTTTATGTCTACTTTTGAGAATTTGCCTTTGGAGAGTTGCATGCCTACAGATGCATCTGAGTTGCATATTGTCACCGAATAGTTTTTCAAGAAACATTCTTTCTCTAGGGACTTGGATTCCTTGTAGTTTGAAGCAAAAATGGAGAAGATGGTAAGAACGAAAATCTCCTGACGGTCCGGTCACTAACTAGGGAGTGTTCTATCATTTAATGATCTAACTGTCAAGGGAAACCTTCTTGCTTTGAATTTGTGTGGAATAGGTATATCAATACTTGTTTTTTTGTGTATTATTTCGATATGGGACAAATTACTTACTTAAATTGGTAATTGTCTTAATCAAACTTATTTACAGGGTTATCAGTTTTGGACTCGAGTTGATGCAGAGGGTAAATTCTCTATTAAAGGCGTCCGAGCAGGGAAATATAACTTGTATACATGGGTACCTGGTGTTATTGGGGACTACATGTACAATGTTCAAGTTATTGTGACACCAGGTTTATATTTCTATATCCACCAACATTCCATTGATTTCCTTATATATATATATATATATATATATATATATATATATATATGTTAGCAACTTGCTCACACAATACCATTATCAGGATCTGAAATCAAATTGGGTGACCTCATATATTATCCCCTAAAAAGTGGTCCTACTCTCTGGGAAATAAGCTTCCCTGACCGGACCACGGCTGAGTTTTATGTGCCTGTTCTAGCTTCAACCCTCATGAACCAGCTTTACAACAACCATACAGACAAGTTAGTTCTTATCAAGCTTCTCATACAATTTTTTAATTTAAATTATTATTTTTTAAAAATTTTAAATTATTATTGTTATTATTTTTTTACAGGTTTAGGCAATATGGGTTATGGGATCGGTATACAGATCTGTATCCTAACAATGATCTCATTTACACTGTTGGCGTTAGTGATTACAAAAAAGATTGGTTTTTTGCTCATGTTAACAGGTGTTTGATTCAACTTTTTCAGTACCTGAAACTTGTTAATGTTGAAAGATGTGGTTCTAATTAATTTTTTTATTATTATTTTTTTTATTTACAAGAACTTGGGAAATAAAACTTATGTATCAACCACATGGCAAATTGTATTCGATCTAAAAAATGTGAATCCAATGGGAACTTATACACTTCGATTGGCGTTGGCATTAGCCACATTCCTTAATGTTTTTTCCTAACAACGAGGACACTTTTTTGATAACTGGGGTGTCTGAGACTTTGTCCAACTAATTTACAGGACTCGTGCAAAGAGCCCCCTCCACATGGATGGGGTAAAACTCAGATTATGTCTCTAGCGTGACCCCCTAACTATATTTATATATAAATATATACTTTCTTATAAAAACACAAAATACCCACCTAAGTTTTGTTATTAGCCTTTGTATATATAGGTTTATATATAAGCCAATAGTTGTGCCCCTCCTAAACCCAAATTCTAGCTTCGTCCCTGCACTTAGGAGGAATTGATCCTGAGACCTAATGTTTGTTTTAGATTATATACAGATTAATGCAGCAATATGGTCAAGTTTAATATGATTTGCTTATGGTTTATTTTTTTTCTCTGAAGGTTCGGCTCAACGACCCAAAAGTGGCGCGACCTGACTTTACGACAGGGCTTATAGGGAGAGAAAATGTGATTACAAGATATAGGATTCATGGGTTATACAGGTTGTATAATGTTGATATCTCTAGCTCGAAGCTTTCCAATGGAAGGAACATAATCTTTCAAACACAGTCAAGAGGTTCAGGCCCTTTCATGGGAGTCATGTATGACTACATTCGATTAGAAGGCCCCCAGAGAACAATTGAGGAAGGGGGTACTGTATACAAATATAATTCATTTTTTAACACACCAATAAGATCGATAGAAGATTTTTGTTAGATTCATTGGTTGACACAAACAGTGTCTTGATAAGTGAATTAATTGAAGTTTAGTTAGGTTAGGTAAGGTATATATATAGTTTCATTCATTTATACAGTTTGTATATGAATTGGTTTATAAGCTGAAGTTGTTCTACTTTAGTTTCATTTTCAACCATTTATTTGGTCAGTGTAATTTTATTTATTTATTTATAAAATAACAAGAGAACACACAGTTATTTATTGGCTTCATTTGAATTCTAGTTGTGGTTAGAACATGGAGAATTGAGAATTGACTTGGAAAAATTGTGGAGTGTTGGTAAGTGCTTATAAGCCCATTTCAACCATCTTTATGATTTTTTTGGAGGTGTCCATAATTTATGATAGAATTATGTTTTCAAAACATGGGTGATGTGATCCTATAAGTTAAAAACTCTCTACAAATATTATCCTAAGTTAAATTTATAAGACTTTGACACATGGTATTCTTTGTATATCTAGGACTTATATTATTCCACATCATCAAATTGAGGTTTTGTTTTAGAAGTGCTGAAAACACACCATCCACTAACGGCGTCTCCAACTTATTCTCTCTCCACACACGTCTGAAAACTCCCATTATAATTGTATGGAGGAGGTTTTCATATTCTTTTTGGACTGAAAATCTTTCCCCTAGATCAGCCCTATCACCTCACCTTGAGTTTTTGCTTTGTAATTGTTTGATTCCTACACAGGTTATGGAGTGGAAAATCCTATGCACTTAAATTCTCCAAATAAAAAAAAAAACACACAACCTTATATGCACAATTTTTTTTTAATTTTTTTCTGAAGCACAAACTTTATCAACAAAATTCTTATACACAATTTAAAATACAGACTTTCTCACGATTTTGCATGGGAAAAAAACAACAATATAACTTTTAAAAAATAAAAAATCCTAAACTTCAAGACAAATTTTAAAAATTGCAACAAAGGCTTACACTTAAGGTTGTTGTAATCAAAATCGGGCTCAAATAATGCCACAGAAAATGAAGAGAGGAAATTCAAAGGGGAGCCTCTCCAGGTTGATTTGCAGAGGATTTAAAGAATATTGAGGGAGAAAGTGTTGGTGACGGCGTCTATTCTTGTGGTCCTAATTAAAACGACATCATTTTTGTAGTTGTATTCAATGAACTGATGTGGCATGATATAAACTATTGATCTGCATAAAACGCTACATGTCCATGTCTTAGTAATTCAACTTAGCATAATGTAGATAGTTTTTAACTTAGAGAATTCTAGTCCGATGTGTCTCATATCTATGACTTTAAATTGTGCATATAATACGAGGGAAGGGTCTCTCAACCCCGAATTAACCCCCACTACAAAAGGGAGGCTCTTTGCTAGTCAAAATTTTGTAGTTAAAAGTCCAAAATTTAGGAAAAAATCCTATTAAGTTCCTACGTATAAGCTCTAAAGACAAATAAGTAATCTTCCTAAAGATAATGAAGTCCTACATTTGAAAAATATTTCTAAATAAGTCAAGATTCTATGAATAATGAATATTTTTCCAAGATTGCCCTTTATGGCTAAGTTACTATTACTGTTTTTTATTTTATTTTATTTTTTATTTTATCTTTTATTTTTTTAACCGAAATACATACTTTCAATATTTGTAACTAATAACTTTTATAAATAAATTTATTTGATACCAAAATATATATAAAATACAATGAAAAACTTTTCATTAAATACATTTCAAATTATTTCCATTCTTTTTAAATTTTCTACTTCATATTTTAACATGTGAGTGTTTATGAAGAGTGTATTTGACATACTTTATTAATTTTTTAGGATTATTTATTATGGTAACAAATAAATTTTTTTATAAAAATTATTAGTTACAAACTATTGAAAGTAAAGAGAAAATTTGCATCTTGATAAAAAAAAAATAACCCGGTAATAGTACTAACTTCGCAATAAAGGGTAATCTTGAAAAAAAATTCATTATTCATAGAATCTTGACTTATTAGAAAATATTTTTCAAAAGTAGTACTTCTTTGTCTTTGGAAATATTTCATAGGACTTATAATTGTATTTAGAGTTTAAAAAATAAAAAATAAAATACGTTCTCCAAGAAATTGAACTTATTATATTCACATGTCTATAATGCATATTCTAATTTGAATCTAAATCAAAGAAACTAGATCAAGATCTAATCTTGTTTGAAATTTTTTTAATATACATGAATGTTAATATCCTTTAATCAAATGCACCATCAAAAATTAATTTTTCTTGCATTCACTTCATTTTCTTTTACTTTCAATTTTCATTATTAATTTCCATTTAATCAAACGGAGTCTTACTATTATTTGCTTGTATTTGGATGATGAATGAGAAACATTTCGATTTGCTTGTGTTTGGATGATGAATGAGAAACATTTCCAAGAATCTAGGTGAGACTCTTACTTCTCAGTGTAAACTTTAATTATTCGTGCAAATCATTAATCACAAATAAATATGAATCCCAAAATCTTAGAACTTCATTATTCTCACATACCTATAATGCATAAATAAAGTAGTTAAATATAAATACCTTAATATATGATTGCAAATCTTGTAGAGATTAAGTCCAACGTCGAGATCCTTTGACAATGAACTAAGCTGCAACTCCAAACAATGCACAAATGTGGAAACTGATTTCTCTCTCGGCTTTTTGCACACATAAAACTTATACGTGTTATTTTCATTAGCGTACATAACTGATAGGAATATGCACTTTTTTAAAGCCAAAGAGATGACTGATTTTCCTTTTGGTAACATTAATTCCACTTTACATCAAAGTAAGGAATAAATAGGAAAATACTTTTCCAATAATTAATTACCAAAAAAGTAATTTATAAGTTGACCAAATAATATAATATTAATCTGATATCTATTTACTTAATCACTAATTAATAAAATATATCACATGTCCATATCATATGGGTCACACAATTAATAAATAATTTTACATTCTCTCACTTGCCCATATGATAACTTCTGTAGTAGTTTAGTAAAATAGTCATTAGTGTGCACCATAAATCAAATTGAGTCCTTAAGTTGGTCATCATAAATACCATGGTAAATAAATTACCAATGCGAGTCATGGCAGTTATATATCACTAAATGACACAGTCTCTTTCATGTACCACAACACTAGTAACCTATTCAACATAGTCTATAAATGAGAAGTATCAATAATGATCTAATAATAATGTATTTTCCAAGACTATTCATATTACCACTTATTAAAGCAATACGTACATATACATTAATTAATAGGAAATATTAGAAACATATTTAATAAGCGCAAAACATCAAATATATATAAGCACTGTTGAGCAATCCACAATTAAAAAATAATCATCATTGACTACATTCAAGATCCAATCTTTTAACATGTTGCATAAATGTCTTGGGTGATAGTTCATTCGTTAATGGATTGCAATCATAAGTTGTGTAATTATGTGTTCAATAGACACTCGTTATTTCTAAACATCCTTCTTTAATGATAAAGTATTCAACTTTAGAATAGCTATCATTTTTCATACAAGAAGATCAACAATTACAGCATAAATTTTCAGCAATTTGAAAATGGTACCCATAACTCCAAATCCTAAAATAAATTCTGCAACCATAAATTGTAATCTCAAAGCATGTTATAAATTTGAAAAAAATAAAAATAAAAATTCATTATAGACAAAGTAATAATAAATTACTTTGCATTTTTTCATAATATTGTTCCTCCAGCCAAAAGGAACAAATAACTAATTGTGAATTAATTATTATTCACATATTTATAAAACTATCTTCCTAAGTGTGAGCATATAATCTTTTATCCCTTACTAACTTGTACATACATCAAACTCCACAATATATGCATAAGGAATATTTTTCATTTCTTTACCTTCTAGCTAACTTTTTCTTTAGGATTGTATTAGGCTGAATTTATCTCCTTTTATATATGAAACAATACTGGTTAAACAATGTTCCATTCTTTTAACATATGCTTTCTAAGGCAATCCAAAAAATCCACGTGATCATGTAATATTTATATTCCTATCACGTAAGATGTCTCATCTATATATTTTACTTCAAAGTTATTAGAGATAACTTTTAGTTTCATATAATAAACTAAGATCACTACTTAGCAAACAAAATATCATCAATATATAGAATCAGAAATATAAACTTACTCCTACTAACCTTCTAGTATATACACTGATCAACAATGTTTTCCTTAAAACCAAAATAAATAATGGTATCATTGAACTTAATATACCATTGTGAGGAAGATTGTTTAAGTACATATATTGACATCTTAAGTTTATAGACCATATATTCTTTACCCTCTAATGTAAAGCCTTTAGGTTGATCCATATAGACTTCCTTTTTATAAACTCCCATTTAGAAAAGTTAGTTTCACATTCATTTGATGTAACTCTAAATCATAAAAAGCTATTAATGTCATGATATTTTAAGAGAATCCTTCTTAGATACTGTAGAGAAGGTTTCTTTAAAGTCTCTTCATTCATGGCATTAATCCATTTAGTAAAATCATTACTGTTAATGGCTTGTGAAAATATTACCGAATCCTTATATATCTTAATATCAAAATTAGATTCTTACAGATATAACACATAGTCATCCGAAATAGCAGATCTTATTTCTCTTTGAGATCATCTTAATGTTATTTCTTGTAGTTCTTCTACAATCTATTCATTGGTGACAATCTCATCATGGAATTGTTGATCATTCAATTATTTTTCGTTGTTATACAGTTCAGCAACTGAAGGAATAATTATTTCCTTATAAGTTATAGGTAAAAGAATTTGTACGCTAACTTTTTGAATGATCACATTTTTATTTTTATCACTCCCACTGACTTCACCATTCTCAATGAATCTGACATTTCCGATTTCAACAATTCCCGCAC